ACTAGCGCCATTAGCTTGACGAAGAACCCCGTTCTTCATTCAAGGACGAAACACATTGACATTAGGCACCATTTCATTAGAGATCATGTTCTCAAAGGTGATGTCGAAATTGAGTTTGTTGAAACACACAACCAATTAGCCGACATTTTCACAAAACCTTTAGAGAAAGAGTCGTTCTTCCGCATTCGTAGTGAACTCGGAATCCTTGACTCCACGATGATCTAATTTGTGCATTTTATCATCCTTTTATTGTTACTGGAACGTTTACTAACTTGAGCGTCGGAGGGTTTTCTAACTCTTTTTTGCAGGGACGGTTCGAAGTGAAGAATTCTGGAAATCAGGGGGAACCAGCGATGGGTGGACTATACCATCGCTGGGAGGGAAGTTTCTTTTTTCCAGAACCCCACTTCCCATCGATGGGTGCTTCTTCCCATCGATGGGTAATTGGCTCTCTTTTTAAAAACCTTTTAACATATTTCCAGAAACACCCTACCCATGGATGGGTACTTCATCCCATCGCTGGGTGACGGACTTTTGTCAAAAACACTTTTTCCAGAACCTCCCCTCCCATCGATGGGAACTGTCTCCCATCGCTGGGTGTTTGACACTTATTTTTTAAAAAAAGTTTTAACGGATTTCCAGTTGCCACCCTCCCATCGATGGGTGAGTTTGACCATCGATGGGACGGCAGCCTTAATTTCTTCCGTGCTTTCTAGTGGTGATCATCCCATCGATGGTTAGATCATACCATCGATGGGAGCCTGCCAAAATTCAAAAAAAATAACCGTTGGGCAATGAATTAAATGCCCAACAGTCATATTTTTTGAATTCTTCTCGGATTTTCCACTCCTTCCCTATATATATTCACCATATTTGGTCATTCATCCTCACAATTCTCCTCCATGTTTCATAGTTCATCATTTATTCTTCACAATTCTTCAAATTCTTGCTTCAATCATGGCTGGAGGAAAGAAGACAAAAGCTTCGAAGAAGAAGGCCGCCGCCGAGACTACGAGTTGTGCGCCTCAACCCTTTCCATATCTGGACAGATCCTTCTTATAGTTCGGGTCGGAAGAGGAACTCTCTCGCTTCATCACCCACTTCGCCAAGCGCCCCATCTCTCCGCCAAGGGTGCTACCTGAGCTATACCCTCAACAGAAGGGTTACTACGACCTTGACAATCAACTCAAGGAGTCGGGTCTGTGGCCCTTCGTCTCCCGCAGTTGCACCTCCTTCAATCCCGCCTACGTTCGGGCTTTCTACTCCAATCTCCGCCGGGACGGGGACACTATTCGCAGCAGCATCAATCTCGTGGACTTCGAGTTTTATTTGGCTACCTTTGCCCGGATCGCAGGTTTGCCCACTCGCGGTGACGACATCGCGACTTATGGTGGCGATGATTGGATCCTCAACAACGAGGCGGTGGTCATCCGAGAGCTGGGAATCACCAACCTCGTCCGTCACAGCGGCGCACCAACCATTCACTCAGTCTAGCCGGAGAAGCGCCTTCTACTCTACATCCTCACCCGGATTCTTCGCCCCCGGGACGGCAGCCACACGTGTCTCTTCAACGAGGATCTCAAGGCCGTTCATGCAATCACCCATGGTGCCTCGATCAATTGGGCGAAATACGTCATGATCCACATGGCGGATTGCGCCTCAATCGCCTTCCTCGTCATGGATCTCATTGTCGCGGCCGAAATCTACATCGCCGGCCCGGCCACGAAGATGACAAAGATTTGGATCATCCAAGACAGCACCTTCCGGAAGAAGTCCGGTGACGGAACCGGCGCTGGACCGAGTCGTGCCCGTGCCCCTGCCCCTGCTCCCGCTCCCGCCAAGGCGTCCTTACAGTCCATAGCCAATACCCTGAATCGGCTAACCATCACCGTGGATGGCATGGGCCAATACCTGGAGAGGATGGACTGGACGCTGCAACGCCAAAACCACGACATGACGGCGTACTTCCGCGGCATCAACTACGTCCCGCCGCCCTTTGACAGCACCTTCCTCGGCCAAAACTATGAAGGCGAGGACGAGGAAGATGCCTCTTATGCTCCGTCCTCCCCCGACAAGGCCGATTTTGAGGACGCGGTCGACGGGGATCCCATGGACGTTGAGGACGACGAAGAAGATGATGACGCCGAGGACGAGGACGCCGCTGCCTAGACTCTTCTTTCTTTTCCTTCCTTACTATGATTGTCTTTTTTATTATTTCCATTCTGTTGTATTCCGCATTTTCTCCTTTTTAATGAATAAAAGTTTACTTTATACTCTAAAAATCACTTTTAATTCTTTTTGTTAATGTCAAAAGGGGGAAGATATCAAGGTTATGCATAAATTGAGGGGGAATTGTTTTTAAAATAAAATGGCAACTATTGAGAGGGAATTGTTTAAAATGGCAACTATTAAGGGGGAACATTTTTTAAGTCTCTAAGTCTTCCTCATATGCATAACCTCATCTCGTTTGCCATTATCAAAAAGGGGGAAATTGTTGAAACACGGGCGTGTCACGTTTTCGTACTAAAGCCGTGTTCATTTTTGTAACAGGTTTTGATAATGCCAAACCACCATGATCAAGACAAACTTTGAATATACAAGGCGAAGAAGGAAGACAAGAACAAGAGCTAAAAGAAGACCAAGAACGAAGACCTTAGTCTTAGTGTCGTTGAGTCGGTCTTCATTGTGATCAAGACCGACCCAATCTTTACACCTTGGCTCTTTAGGCTAAAATCCTTCATTGCATTTCTTAAATCATAAAAATGTTTTTCAAACATGTTTAA